AGTTAGGTTTGATCTTTAGCAAAAACACATGCATTGAGAGGCAAGAAATAATCAAAAAATTGTATTGGATACAATCCACTAACAGCCTAGAGAAATATCTAGGGCTGTCAATGTTTATAGAAAGGGGGGAAAAAGCATTTAGAGGAGTGTTTGACAGGATGCAGCAAAAAATTCAAAATTGGAGTCATAGATGGATCTCTGTAGGTGGAAATGAGATTTTTGTGAGATCTATATTGCAATTTATATCCTTTTATGCTTTGTCATGTTTCATTTTCCCTAAAGGCTTATGCCAAGAACTTAATAAAATTATGGCAACATATTGGTGGAGCCAGAAGAAAGGGCATAGAAACATCCATTGGATGGCTTGGACAAAGCTTTGTAAAACGAAAAAGGATGGTCAAATGGAGTTTCAAGAAATAAAAGCTTTCAACCTGGCTCTCCTAGCAAAATAAGGGTGGAGAATGCTAGTGGACTAATCATCTCTAGTCTACAAGGTTTTTAAGGCTAAATACTTCCTCTATTCTTCCTTTCTTGAAGCAAGTGTAAGAAAAAGCTCCTTTTATACATGGAAAATTATTTGCAACGGTAAGGAAATACTGAAGCTTAGTTTTCATTGAATAGTGGGAAATGGATAGAATATTAGGATATGGCATGATCCATGGATCCCAGGGGTTGAAACATTCACACCAATTTCAGTAGTAGGTGGCAACCAAGACGATGGAATGGTTAAAGACCTTATTGATAATGAAGCATGTAGATGGGATAGTGGTAAGTTGTTACAACGATTTTCAATTGATATAGTGAAGAACATTATGGCAATCATTAAGTAGAGTTGAGGATCACGATGCCCTTGTTTGGAATCATAATAAGGATGGGGTGTATAGTGTAAAAAGTGGATACCGTATTCAGAAAGCACATGACCAATAGGCACATGTGATTCAGACAGAGAACATGGGTGGAATAAAGGAATGGGAAAGAAAGTTATGGGGAAGAATATGGCAAGTGGATCTACCAAGCAAATTAAAGGTTTTCGGCCAGAGGATGTGAAACAAAATCCTCTTTGTTTATAAAAATTTACAATGGAGGAAAATAATGGCACAAGCAAGATGTCAGAGATGTAATGCAGGGGAGGAAATGGTGCTACATGCCACTGTTGAATGCCCAAAAGCAGCAACAGTTTGGAAAGAATTAGGATTGGATAACCATGATGGGAGATCCTAAGAATAGAGGGTTGGTCAATGGCTAAGAAGAATTATGAGTTTGAGAAAGATATGATCAGGGATTTAAATAGCGGTCATGGTCACATTTTTTGTCGTGTTACGTTTATCACATTTTCAAATATAACGGAGATCATTGTGGTCATTAGGTCATGAATTTTTTGTAATTTTTCACAATTTATTATAAAATGTAATGTTTATAATTATAATTATAATTATAAAAACTTTTATTTAATGTTTTTTAAAATAGTTTATGACACTATGTTTTTTATTTTCAAAAAAAAATATTTAGAATTTTATTTAGATTATAATAAAGCATTTAAATTTGGTTTAGCAACAAAAATTTTACTTGAGCCAAGTTTATATTCAAAATTAATTCTAGATAAATCAGAATATTAACCAAACATAATACGTTAACTACCAAACATCCATATTTAATAAAATTACAAACTTAAAAATATAATAATTTCAAATTCCATCAACTATAATTATAAATTAATAAGAATTAATCTAATAACAAAAAAAAATGACAACAATATAAATACCAAAATAACAAAAAAATTATTAAATTTCAAATACAAAATTATAAATTAATAAATAACAAAATCAAATCATAATATTTAATTTTAATTATTTTTCATCTAACTTATACAAAAAATTTATTAAAATTTTTCATAAAAATCCATATATATAATTTCAAAAATTAAAAATTTTCAAACTTATATTTTAATAAAATTATTACAAAATTAAATAAATAAAAACCCACCCACCCGCCCTAACCTACCCCACCCCTCTTAGGACCCATGCATCCCCCTTAATAGTAGACAACCCCCTTCTCCAAAATTTCCCCCAAGTTTTGATAAAAAGGTAGAAACCCTCATCCTTCTTCGTGTCTTCTTCTTATCCCTTTTTTTCTCTCTGCATCTATCACTCTTTTTTATGTACCATCATCAATGTGATTGCTTACAAAGTATCTTGATCTCATCTGTTTTAGATTATCACAAATATCAATATTATTTTACAAAAATTTTGCAAAAAAAAAATGGTAATTTAATTATTTTCTTAATTTATTTGATTTTGATTATTAATTCAAGATTTGTGGTTGATTTGAATTTAAGTAATTTATGGATTGAGTTAGGGTTATTGTCGATTAAAGTTTTTTTGTTTAATTTGAACCAGTGACTAAGAAAATGGGGATAGTGACAATAACGGTCCATTATTGCCACTATTTCCTATTACACCATTTTCTAATGACCGTTACACATTATTTTGAGTGTGATTCAATTTCTCGATCGTATTTTTCTCGATAACAGTGGCGAGTGGTGGCGTTATCGTAATTTCGTGATCGCTATTCTGTTATACAACCTCTATTTGAAACCCTAGATATGATGGAGCATCTTTGGTGATATGGCCAAGTAGGAACAATCATGTTAAGAACAAAGAAGATAGAAGCAGCCAAGTTACAGCTTTTTTTGCCATTCAATACATGGAAGAGTATAAGAGAGCATAAGAACACGTCAAGAATCCAACAACAAAAAACACGAGTAAGTGGCAAGCACCACAAGAAGACAAGGTTAAGATAAACTGTGATGCGACTCTAGATGTTGACAGGGGCCTATGGGGGATAGGCATAATCGCTCGTGATTCAGAGGGTGGAATTAGGGGAGCAAGGTGCAAATAGATCCTAGGAATAATAGACCCCATATTAATTGAAACACTAGTAATGGTGGAAGTAGTAAAGATGGCATTAGAGATAGGCTTTCACCAAATTGAGCTGAAAGGTGACAAAAGGGAGATAATACTTCAATTAAGGTTGATGGACAAAAACCTATCCTATATTAGAAATCTTATGAAGGAGATTAAAGTAGACTATAACATTTCATGTCATAGGAATGTATGCATGTCAATAGGGAAGGAAATAGGGTGGCCCACCATATGGCAAAGAGGGCCTTGGGGGGAGAAGGCATGAGTACTTGGCTTTAAAATTTTTCATTTGAACTGGTTGTTTTATATGAACAAGATATAGCTAAAAATTAGTAATGAATTTCAATTTATTTTCAAAAAAAAAAAAACCTATGTGATTATGAGCTGCTATATGTACTTGATAATAGTATAACTAAGCTCTAGAAATATACTGATCGTATGATTTATTTTCTTATATGAATCCGATGTAGAGAATAGAGAAAACATTTTCAAGATCATTAGAGTTTATCACCCATTCTATGCGAGTGAGAGATATAAGAATAACTGCCCATAATGGGCTTAACTCAATGAAACCAATTGCCTTGGCAATTTATTTTCTTAAAGAAAAACTGCCTTAAATAGATTTTCTTTTTAACAAGTAAAAAATACCTCTTACTTTTTGTTGCTTAAAGAACAAAAATTGGACCATTAACATATAATCAAGAATATAAAGAGAAAGTCTTTCAAGAAAAAAAAAAAAGGAAAATGAGAGAGAGAGAGTCAAGTAGGTATTTGAACAACTATCAATGAAAAATTTTTACATTCAATTTGAAAGGACTTATGTTGTGAAATCGAATAATTTTCGTATTGTAATCTTATTTAACGATCAGTAATTCGAGTTCTTTTTCATTTTCATTTTCACTTTCACTTAACAAATAAATATATATATGTGTGTATATATGTGATTTTGTTCGTATATGTCTTTCATGAATTTTTCTTTTAATTAAAAATTAATTGATATTCTATTAGTATAATTTTTTTAACTTTACAAGTGAAATTAATATAATAACACATATCCATTTTTAATTAATTTTTTATTTTTTTAAATATACCTTAAAGAACATAAATTATCCTTTCAACTTCATTTGTAAAATTAAAAAATTATATTGACAATATATTTAATAATTTCTCTTATATTATTTAGATTTGCAACTCAACGTTAAGAACATTATTAGCTACAATTATTTTTATTTAACTTTTGTATTATTTATACTTTAATAATAATTACTTTTATTAAAAAAATAAAAAAAAGTGTGCTCCATTATCATTAAATTATCATAAACATTGTTTTTCACCGATAAAAAAATTGTACCGGCATCAAAGTGCGAGCCAATTTTCTACTATGCCATAAAAAGGAGCTCTGAGTTATGCAATGCTCTAACCCTACGTAAGGCACATGTGGTAGTTTTATTTTTATATTATTAATTTTATATAAATATTTATAAATTAATGAAAATAATATTATAAATTTATTAAAAAATATTTATATAAATTTTTACGCACGGTAAGTGTCCTTACCGCCTTTTTCTAAACGTTTCAAAATAAAAAAGATAATATATTTAGAATATTAAGAAATTTATTTTAAAAGATAATATATCAATACATTTGATATTTTTAAAATTTAAAAAATAATAAAATAATAAAAATATTTAAAAATTAATATATCTAAATTAAAATTTACTTATAATAATTTAAAAATTATAAATATTCACCTAAAAAAACTTTTTGAATAATTTTTTATATGTAAAAAATATAAATTATTCACATTCAGATCACAGATTTTATTAAATATTTATGCATTGTGTAATTTAATACATATAATTTTTTAAGTTTATGGATTTTTTTAGTTTTTTAAAATTATTGCTTATCTATTTATTTATTTTTTATTATATTGTTAGAATTAAAAAAAAAGAAAGAAAGAGACATTTAATTTTTTTAAACAGATAAAATAATAATAATAAAAAGAAATTGAAATGCTACCGGTGCGCCAGTTAAGGCGCCCCATAAGAAAGGACATATTCGCCACAAAATGCTGTCGTTTCAACTTTGTGTAAGAAAGGCGCAAAGTGGCTGAGTTGTTAGTAGCCGACTAGCCCCTCCAACACTTGCTGCAACACTGCATTGAATAAAGAAGGTGGCGGTTTAGGGTTTAGTAGAGGAAAAAGCAAGAGAAGAAGAAGGGAGGTATGGTGAAACTCACGGCCGACTTGATTTGGAAGAGCCCTCACTTCTTCAATGCCCTCAAGGAGCGAGAATTGGATCTTCGAGGTGCTGCTTATCTTTCTTCTGCCAACCCTTATAATAATCTCCAAACCCCCTTCCTTTTAGAGTTGATTATCTTTTATTTTTTTTTCCTTGTTCAGGTAACAAAATTGCTGTAATCGAGAACCTGGGTGCTACCGAGGTGCGTATTACTTTTGTTCTTCTGTTCACCCCGAGTCAAGAAAAATGGTTATGGCCGTCTTTATCTCAATGGCTCAATTGACAGGACCAATTCGATACCATAGATTTGTCTGACAATGAGATTGTCAAGCTGGACAACTTCCCTTACCTTAACCGCTTGGGTTCCTTACTCATAAACAACAACCGAATTACCCGTATCAATCCCAATCTTGGGGGTAAGCTTTGAACAACACTTGGATTTGCCTTCTTCTAATGTTGCATGTCTCTATTCTCTGATGCTCCTCACATTTACTTGTCCTGCAGAGTTCTTGCCCAAATTACACACTTTGGTTCTCACAAACAACAGGCTCGTGAACTTGGTGGAGATTGATCCTCTTTCATCTCTTCCTAAGCTGCAGTTCCTTAGCCTATTGGACAATAATATTACAAAAAAACCTAATTATAGGCTATATGTGATTCACAAACTAAAATCACTTCGTGTTCTGGATTTCAAGAAAGTCAAGGCTAAGGTGATTGAATATGCTAAACTTTTATTTTATCCTTTAAACAAATTTGCTGCTGCTTATTTTGTGTATGATTATGTGAAATTGCTGTGGTTAATCCAGAAACTTCTAGCCACAGACCTGTTTTCATTTGTCTGACAGAATTTGCCTAATTGAACCTTTAGCTTTATAAGCATGAAATTCCTTTGCAACAATTGTTTTGTCCTCCCATGGTTTAATTTGAATGAAACAAATTATATTGTGCAGTAGAACTGTAGGTTCATAAAGTGCAGTTCTCTGGTTTTAGTGATTGAGAGTTAACCTAATTAATGGAATAATAATAGTGGATGGTAGAATGGTTTTTTAAAATTTCTTCTTATTGAGTGCTGGCCTCGACTCCATCATAGGGTTATTGACTATTAGAAAAAGATGTCTTGAAATCTACTTTTTGTTCAAAATCACAATTCCATCTTTTTGCCTAATGCTTTGGTATTGCTCATGTTTTACTTATTTCACAAAGAAACACCATGCTCTATGATTGATTGATTGATTTGATGTAGCTTAAGCTTTTTTTTTTTTTTTCATCTTTGGGTGGGTGGGGGAGAAAGGGGGTGGGGAGGGGCTAAATGTTCTAATTCTCCATGATTTTGAATTCCTCATGCATCTATCATATGAATTAATTTATCATAATTTTGCTTCATGGGTCACAGGAGAGATTGGAAGCTGAAAATCTCTTTGCATCTAAAGAAGTTGAAGAGGAAATGAAGAAAGAATCTGCAAAGACAATAACACCAAAAGTGGTTCCAAATGTTTCAGAAGTTGCAGAGGAAGAACAGATGCCAAAGCTAGTTGCCCCTACACCTGAGCAAATTATAGCTATCAAGGTATCAACTTTTTTCTGATAATACTAGTTTGAAACAGGGATAATATTATTGACGGTGTTTTAATTTTTATAATGATTTCTTTTTAGATGGTTTTGCATATGCAACTTAGAAAGGCTGTAGAGAACATTTCAGGAAATGAGTATGAAATGGAAAAAAAGAAAAATTGATAGGAATCCAGGGAAAAATGGGAGAAACGTACCTTTTGACTACTTCAATTGCTCTCACAAATTCTTGCTTGGATACCATTTACAGAGATATAAGGGAAACATAAAGAGAGCATAAGAATTAACTCTGACTGACAAGAATCTTGACCAACTTTGTTATACTGTGTGATAACTATTTAGACTCTCATTTGAGGTTTGGCCAAACAGATAAAAGGGCTCTCATTTGAGTGAAATATAACTTTTATAGTTATAATGCTCTGAAGTAATGTGTTCTCTTTTTTTTTTTTTTGTTTTAGATGAGAGTAGAATATCCTTTCACTGAAATCTGAGAGCACAAGTGCTTCCAAATTTTCTTAGCATGCATGGACTGATAATTTGATCTTAGGATATGACTGAGGAAGTGCTTAGAAATATTAGAAAGGGATATAAAGACTATAGTTATGGGTTTTGGGTTTCTAAAGACTAAAGAAAGACTCTAGAATTATTATTTTCGCATCCATTAGAATATGGTGTCTCATTGTTTAATGAAACTTGGGACCAAGCAAGGGAAGTTGCAATAGAGCAGTGAGAACATACTTTGATGCAAAGTTATCAAATATGCTTTCCTCCCTCGATTTTCTGAACTGGATCGTAGAATCACAAAGGCAGATCCTTCACGATTCAACTCTCGAAACCAAACAATCTATTGGTTAGGAGAAGTAAAGGATTGAAGTTGAAAGAGGAGACAAGGAAATTGAATACTTTTCTCAACTGCCAAAGTCTCAAATGCCTCTGAAAGATAGGGAGAAAGAGGAATTGTAGATGACAACTATGTTTAGTTTTAACTTTTCTTTATTTGTTATATGCCTATTGTGTAGGCTATGCAAGTGAAAATTTGTAGTTGTGAAGCCCTGATTCTTTTTTTTTAAGTAGTGAAGCCCTAATTCTTAATTCTACAAAAAAGATCCTAATCTGCAAACAAACTTTTATTTAAAAGTATTTTAAATTTTTTAGAAATACCCATTAGTTTTGAAGTTTAAAATTAATTTAAATTAATTATGTCAATAATTTTTTATAATATTTATCTCATTAATTTTAGTTACACTTAATTAAATAAAAATTCAATTTAAACAAGGAAAAAAATTTAGCAAGCCAATGACTACTACCTCCATGTACCACATTCCTGTTTAGTAGCGATTTATGTTCCCATTTCCATTCCTTGAACCAAATCGGTCTGTGTTCCACGTAGCTTTCTGATGTCAAGATTTGGGGATTAAAAATGATCCTTGGGGAAAACCATTTTTTAATTTCTTCCTGTAAAAGATTCTATGGTGGATTCAAGTCTTGATGATATGAATTATAAAACATGAATGATGCTTGAATCTTTTGTATAATTATTTAACTTTCAGTTACTTGTTTAGTGGTAGAATTAGAGATTGATATTTAGGATGATTCGTGTCATCAATAACAATTTGCAAATATTAAAGGAATTTTAAGCGGGCTTGGTGATGACGATAAAGGTCATAAAACTAATATAGTAGAACTAAAACTCCCTTAAATCTCATGGAAGAACCTGTTAGGCAGTTCATTTAAGGGCTGTCGATCATACTTGTAAAAAGGTCATAAAACTAAGAAAAAGGTAGTATTAAACTGCCCCTCAATATCATAGAAGAACCTGTTAGGCAGTTCCTTGAGAGTTGTCAATCACAGTTGTAGTTGCCAACCAGAATTGAAGTTTGATGATATAAATTATCAAGTTATTAGGGGTGCTTTTGGTTTGAGAGATCTTGGAAGATTACTGATGACCTCAAACCTCGCTGGAGGTCATCTTCCCTTGTTTGGTTTGATGAGTAATCTCAAAAGTTCAGTATCCTTGTTTTCTCTTAGTCCCAGTATAGCCTGTTTTATTGGTGATCTCCTTACCTCCCTAAGGGGGTGAGAATCTAAAGGTACCAGCTTGGTAAAGTTAGACCAAGTTGGATTAATGGTTTTCAAGACAGAAATACCCCTAGTTATGCCAAGAAAATGAATGATAAAAAACCTAACCTGACTCTTGAAATCCCAGTTTAGATGATTACTTTATAAAGAGTGGTGTCAGTTTATCATTTAGTATGGATTAGGAAATGATGAATTAAATTGAATCATGTTAGAGAAATATGCTGGAAATAATTTAGGTTAATACCAGGCAAGGGCATGCTAGAAAGTAAGTATTGGAAGTTTTCCTAGCATGACCAAATGTAATTTTGTGTGTTTACAAAAAATTAGATGCCTTAATTCTTTGTTTAGGAGCTACAAAGGGGGGAGGAAGCAAAGTAAAAGGCGGGATTTAAAAAGAGGAGAAAGGGAAGGGTAAGGAATCCCTCCTGTGATTGCTTAAAAAAGAAGTGGGAAGGGAGAGGGAGGGGCATGCTAATAACCTTGTTTGGATAATGTGTGGAAAGGAAATTATAACTTATCATTTGTTTTACAATTATATCCTTTATAGGCTAAAATGACATTGACATAAGGATGATTTTGTCTATATGATTTAAAGTATTTAACGAGGAATACTTCTCCAATCCAAAGGATTTTAAAGAAATGAAGGTGTTGGAGGTGGCATGTACCCCCTTCAAATCCCTTCCTTTCATTTGGAATGTTCTCCAAACATGGGAGAGGGTCCACTACCCCTTTCTTTCCTTTTCCTTCCCTCCCTTGCCTTCTAACCAAACATCGTCAGGTTATCTTCCCTATTTCAAAGCAATTCAGGCAAAGCTTTTAAGTTTCAATTTGACATGAATTCCATAATGTATGTAAGTTTCTATGCTTGCCTCGCTTCATTGTTATTGCTTAAGGCTACTAATTGCTTTATTCCTCAATTTAATAATTTTTATTACATGTTTGAGTTTGATATATACTAGCATGAGATTTGAAAGGGTTTTAAAAAGTTACAATTTAATTACACAAGGTGGTTGACAAAGTCTATAATTACTTGACTTTCTTTATGGAGGATGGTGATGGTGACTTCTGACAGATGCATGAATATGCAAAAATTTCCACTGGTTATGAACTATGTGAACATGTCAATTAATGTGTTCTTTCTTTTTCTTTTAATTTCCACAATATCATTGTTATATTTGTGTTCCTAGTCAAAAAGCATGGACCCACAAAATATCGAACAACAATATGCTTGATTAGTTTTTGTGAAAGAGAACAGTTCAAGGATATGCATTCCCCTGTGATAGTCAATGTAAAATCTTACATCTATTGTAAAATTGTGACTACTTGCACCCACCCTCTTATGCACACACATCTCAACTGCATTTGTGAGAAGGAAATCATACATGTATGATAAGAATGTGCCTAATTGGGTAGTACTTTTGAGGAGATTTGGGTACTGGGGTCTGAAATCTGAACACTATAATTGTCCAGAAAAGGTATTGATGTCTAGTTCCTGTTGCTAAATTATTTTACTTGTGTACTGCTCTTCAATTTGCCTAAAGCTTGTATATTTGTGATTTATTTGTGTCTAAACCACTTAAATGTTCATTTAATTTCATCATGTTTGTAAATGATTTCTGCATATTTGTAAAGCATGTGTAAGACTAAATTCTTATCTTGTTTATATTTATTTGACATACAGGCGGCCATTGTGAATTCTCAGACTTTGGAAGAGGTTGCAAGACTTGAAAAGGTGCTTGCTTAATTTCATGAGTGCCTTTTAAAGATATTGTCATTTAGATTTCTTTCTTAATTTTAACATTCCATTCTGGATGGTTCTTTGCATGAGCAGGCACTAAAGACAGGTCAGCTTCCTGTGGATTTGATAATTCCAGGTGATGATAAAGGTGCCAATGTTGTTAAAGGGAAAGATGAGGAAACTGTTTCTGATATTCAAAATGAGTCCAATGTTGAAACAGATAATATGGATAAAGAAAAGAATGAAGAACCTGCACCCATGGAACAGGTATGTAGATAGTTGTTATGCTGATCCTGAATTGAGTCTTTGTGCTCATATTATTTTGTTTCTTCTCCTTGTTCATGCTGTTCTTCCAAGAGGCTGAAGAAGGTTCCCTCCCATGTCCTTTGCACTTAGCTAAGATAGATATGAATGGCAAATGCTAGCCCCCCTTAGTGATATAGCGTTAATGTCTTATCTTGCACTTGAAAATGGGCATATAAAGGAAAAAAATGTCTGATTAAGAAAAATAGACCTCGTTATTTTATGTACTTCATAAGCATTGGATTGAAGTATAGCAACATGTAGTCAAAAGTAAAGGGAACATGGAGGCACCGTAAGTACTAAATGAAGACTGGTTTTAAATATTTTAGAAATGAAATGTCCATTTCTATACTTAGCTCAATGAGGCATTAATGCCAGGCTAGATGGAATATGCACATTTCTTGATAATAAAGATCATAATACAAACATATTTGATGTTATTGATATTAAAGTGGATTATACTTGCTAGATTGCCTAATATCATGAGCAAAACCATTATTTTTTGGACATAAACAACAAACATTCTTGTATCTTGTGCAAGTTTCTGAAAACAGTGGAGCAAAGGCATCACATAGATAGATTAGAAAGACCAAAATGGCTTCGTATATGAATCAAGGCTGCCTTTTGGAGTATCATTTATGTAAATTTTACATAAAAGAGTTGTCATTTAATAAAATGTTTGCCTCAAGTACTGTTTTCCTTGAGTAAAGCTCTTGCCAACACATCAAAAGCCATTACTTTGCTTACGTGACATTGAAGGGTTTTAGGGCCTCCCTAAGCATCTATGCAATCGCCTAATTCACTGACTGACGAATTTGGTCAGTAAGTGGCTGCTAATTTTAAGAGCCATTGCTTCACTCCAAGAGATAGATTGGTTAACATCTATATTGAAAGGACTAAATAGGTTCTTGACAAGGTTGAGCTTGTTTATTGAAGGAATTCTCAAGCTCAGGTTTAATAGTTTAGATGCTAGAATTTGCCTCCATTACACTTTATTGTCTATTTATGATAATTTTAGTTATAAAATGATAAATTCAAATACAAAAGATTTAGGATTAAATATAAAAATAGTCATGTACCATATACTTTTTGTCAATTTAATACTTAAAAAAATAAAATTCGCAATTAGGTTCCAAAACTTTCATTTCATCAATATCTAATAAATTCATGACATGTGTCAACTATCTATTTAAGTAAATTTTATGTGATATTTCAAATAAATTTTAATTTCATTTAGAGCAAACAAAGTTCAACCATCTTAATGGTTCTCAGCGAAAACAAAATTTAGAACTAACCAATTAAAATTCAATTTTGATGAGATTTATGTTTAATTTAGAAACACATAAAAATTCTAGATTGGCAATTTAGATGAACAACAAAATTTGATGCGGTTTTTTGTTCCAAAATTGTTTTACCAAAGTTGTAGCATAAGAATTAATGTGTGCACAGTAATAATATAAACTAAAAACTGAATCTAGCTTCTGGATCTTGATTAAAGCTTACAAATTTTCCGGTAAACGGATATGAGAAATTTTTTGGCTTCACCTTGGTATCATAGCCATGTGGAATCAAATTTATACTTATTATTATTATTCTTTTAAATTGTTTTGGCATATTGGAACATATCCTACATGTATCATGATGTCTTGAGTGTGTATCTGGCTGATATGGATACAACACGAATATGTTGGGTACAGTGATGTTCATGCTTTATAGATATCTGTTTTAATACCTTCAAACCCCATACTTCAATGCTATTAAGTTTATTTACAAAGATATGTTCAATATAATAAATTTAAGATGTGTTTGATATACAAATATTATGGATAGGATAAGATAATATAAATTATAAATAAGAGATTAAATGACATCATTTTATCTTATGTTTGGTTTGTGTAAGGATTAAGAATATGATAGGATGATTTTTATCTTCTATCATGTTTGTTATATGTAAGATTAAGAGTACTATAAAATATTTTTTTATTAATAAAAAATTACTCTTTTTTAAAGTAATAATACTTTAAATTTATACTTTTTATATAAATATAATTCAAACTTTTTTAACTAAAAAATACATATTTTAAGACGAGTTAAATTTATATTTTTATAAAACAATCAATCATTTATAAATAAAATTTAAAAACTATTTTTTAAAAACTATTTTTTATCGAAAATATTTTTTTCACTATTTTTTCCTTTCATTTTCTTTTATTTTTAATTTTTTTTCATTTTATAGTTTAAATTTAAAATAATTTATTTGGTTGAAATCTAAAATTATTTTTTAAAAAATGGTTTTCCAAAACAAATTGTTGAGGTTTTTCGAAAAACAAAATAAAAAATATAATTGATTTGTTTTCTTTCCTTTATTTTTTCACCTTTTTCTTTTATTCCCCCTCTTAGTATGAGGGAAAAAAAGGAAAAATAGATTAAAAAAAAAAAAAAGAGAGAAGAGAAAAGAGAGAGAAGAAAAGAAAGAAAAATGAAAAAAAATTTTAAATTTAATAATTCAAAATTTATTAATTAAAAATTTTACTTTAGAATAGTTTTATTATTAGTAGTTAATTTTATTTTTAAAGGAAATTAATTCTTAAAAATTTAAAATAATGTCAAAACAATATCTTTTATTTATTTGAAAGAAAGAAGTGAAAAAAGGAGAACAGAAAAATAAATAAAGAAAATAAGGGAAAAAAGAAAAAAAAAATAAAGAGGGAAAAATAAAATAGGGAAAAGGAAAAGAAGGGAAGATGAAAAAAAAAAAAAAGGGTTAACCAATTAAATAAGGACTCGTCTTTTTATTCAAATGTTTAAGTTATATTTTACATGTAAATTTTAGAAGTAAAATAGGGAATTTATTTTTTGACTAAAGTAAAATAGATCATTTATAAATATCTATCATCTAATCTTATAGGATTAGAAATTATTCTCCCATTTTAGAGAGGATTAAGTCATCCTATATTAAGTGGATGGCTAAGACTTTTTACAATCCAATCCTTTCTTATGTGTTCGTCAAATATAAAATAGGATAATAATATTTTATTCATAATTTTATGTATCAAATATGTGTCTTGTTTATTTCATGTTATACCGGATTCTATGCCTGTGCACATGTTTTTGATGTGTATATATGTTAAGATATCCACTTTGGCTGAATTCAAGTGGGAAGTGTGGGATGAGATTTGGGTAGAGATATTTGGTTTGAACCATAATGCTCCCAGTTATATATAAATAAAAAGAAAAAGAAAAAACTGCTAACTTATAAATGATTTATTAACTTATAGCTTAAAAGATCTAAAGCACCCTTGAGATCTAGGTTGACTTATTTAGTTAACAATCTTAAAAATAAAGGGCAAGCTAGCCTTTCATTTTTAAGCTTAACGATTGAGCTCAAATATAGTTGTCTTTTGAGCAAATTTCTTGAATTTTTCATCTGAGCATGTAGTTCAGTTTTATGATTCATGGCTTGTAGTGGCTCAAATTCTTAGCTTCCATAGATTTGTTCTACTCCTACCTGCATTGTGTTGGGGACAGACCATTCTTTTAATGACACTGTAATGAAGATTTTTAAGTTTTCTTAAATGCGTTAAGTTACGTATCTAGTCTTGGATGATTTCATGTGTTCTATCGTGAGATAAGTCTGGTTTGTCTGAAAGGAATTTAATAGTTTCTTTATGCTTCTAATAGTTATCATGCAGGGATAGAGTTGTAGATACATGTATATTTTCTTTATTGTTTAATATATGGTTGTCAATTATATATTTATTCATTAGTTTATCTGATAGGCTAATAATGCTGTAAGTGGTCTGTACTCTTTTTGTGGCCTTTTTTTTTTTTTTTTACAGGAATAGCGTTGGTAGATTCTCAAGGGGCTTTTACATCACTTGGTGCGTTCATCTTGGAATGGTTGGGTTTGCAAGTTGTATTGAGAATTCACATGGAACTCTGACTCTCTCTGTCTCTCTCTCTCTCTGTCTCTCATGTACAACCATGAAAACTGTCGTTTAACCTAATTGCTTCTGGTACTGAGATGCTTTACCTTTCTAAAGGTGCAAAAGAGATGTTTTCTGCAAATGTATGTTTGGATATTGAGTTTCGACGATTTTGACATACTGGTGGATTTATCTGCTCCAGGTAACTTAGGATGAAGCTTGAGTATTGATCTTTTTATTTATTTATTTATTATTATTTTTCTATGTTTGCATGTTATTTGTGAAATTTTAGACTTTGTGAAAAGTTGAACTGAGCTTAAAGACCGGTTTAACTTGCCCAACTCATCTGAAAACGGATTCGATTTCACAAAATCACTCTAATACTCATGCCCAAATATGATGAAACTCCAATATCAGTCGACTACACATGAATCTCTCTCTCTCTCTCTCTCTCTCTCTCTCTCTATATATATATATATATATATATATGTATATGCTTTTCTCATTTTGAATTTTATTATTAAAAATGACAAATATGATATAGAAAACATTTGAATTTAACATAATTTGGATTAATAAAAAAATTTATAATAATCAAAACTTGTATTTGAGCATAATATTTAATGGTAAATGGTTAGTGTATGTGTCATTTTTAAAGATGCTTAAGATCAAGAAGAAAAAGATCAAACCCAAGTGTTTAAGACATTACAACACCAAATACTTATGAGGTTAAGTTTTTAAGTATATAAAGTAAAAGTTATCATATTAAATTAAAAATCAATATCTCAAGTAACTCTGAGCAATATTGTTACAAAAATTTCTAGTTTCCAAACGTCAAATAATGTGATCGAAACATACTAAATATCCGAACTAATATATCTTTTAAAATTGATATCAAAATTTTCACAAATAAAGTTGTTCAATATTAGAGGCTGATTCTAATCTTGCTAAAACAAGTTCTCATCAAATCATGTATGATGAAATCATCACAGAATTGATCTTTTCAAACTTTTTCTATAACTCACTATAATAGGTTCAGGAAACAAAGAAAAGATGTGTACGAATGAGATATCCAACAAAAAAAAGATGAAAAAAGATCGAATAGAAGAATTTCTGAATATTTAGTGATATTAAATGTGTCGATTCCAATGGTAGTCAAAAGATGTACATATCAAAATACGAAAAAAAAAAAAAAAAAACAATAGGTGTAATAACGGAACAAGTAATTGACATCATTTCAATTGGAATAAATATGCTTTAAAACATTTAAATCAAAATTATCAATCATTATGATTAGAAAATAATGAGTGATATACTCTTGCATTCACAAACATATTTTCTCTATAAAGTAATCTTTTTAGATAATAAAACTAAACAAAATTTAACAAATTTATAAATTTCCTTAGTTTCTTATAACATACCACTATCATACTTAATCTTAGAAACATAGGTCAGAACTAAAATAAAAATCACAATTAAATCTTGGTGATAATAGATTAGAAATAATTCTAATATAACAAAACTTGCTCAAAGCCAAGTTTTATGTGTTCATCTCAAAGTATATTAAGCATTAACATAGTCAATAAATATTAATATATAAATACATCCTAAACCCAAAGATTTAGGATATAACAATGCTATATACTTACTAAATCAATCCCATAAGCAAGTAAAACTATATATATCATACTGAATAAAAATCAAGAACTTCAAAAGTCTCGAAAATAGTATTTTATAAATCCTCGAGTCCTCAAAATTAAAGGTTACAAATATTCTTGATGATAAAAAAAAATAGTTTTTTTAAATAAATTATATCAATAAAATTTTAAATCTATTTAATAAAATTATCCTGTGTAAAAGTAAGCTTTCAACTTATCATGTTAAGAGAATTGTTCTCTTCCATTTCAAATCTTGATCTTATTTATATTGTAATTTAATTTGTCAATAACCTTACAAATATTTGGATTTATGCATATTTAATTAAAAAAAGATTTTTAAATTAAATTTGCGATTATAAAATACTCAATTTTAATTGTCAAATGAATAAAAAAAATGATCAAAGAAATTGTTGAATTAATATGAATTAAGTTTTTATCAATATATATATTTATTTACAAAATATGTTTTTATTACTCAATTACATTTGTTAATAAAAGCATAAGTCTAAAAAATAAATTTTATTAATGTATTACGCACAGTTCTTTTTGTTGAACGTGCCACGTGGCATTTTCTCCTTTCTTTCTTTTTTTTTTTTGTTTTTGTGAGTTTTTTTTTCTATTTAAATTTTAGAATTTTTTACCAAATTTTCTACAAAAATTTTTTACAGATTTTTTTAAAAAAATTCTACAAAAGTTTTTTAAAGATTTAAAATTTTTAAGATACAATTTATCAATTTATTTTCTTTTTTTTTCATTTTTTAAAAATTCATCCATTAAATAAAATTTGCTCTATACAAAATTTAATCGGAGTGCCATGTGCGCACCCCAAAATTTTTTGCTTTTTTATTTTTATTTATTTTGAACTTTTTAAATTTTTTTTTTTAAAAAATTTTTTAATACTTAATAAATATTTTTTATTTAAATTTTTTAACTACGGGATACATTTTATTCTAATATTTCTTTTTTTTTTTGCTTTTTAAAAAAATATTTCTTTTCAAACTTTTTTATAAATATTTTTTAAAAAATTTTAAATTTCTTTTTGTATGAAACCTACTTAATACTGAGAATATGCCACATGTGTTCCTTTTTTTTTTCCTTTTTTATTATTTGTATTTTTTAAAATTTAATAAATATTTTAAGGAATATTACATAAAGTATGAATAATTTTGAATGGCATCCCCATTTATTTTTCTAATTTTTTAATTTGTAATGGATAATTTTGCAATAAAATGTGCCATTTGATAAAGATATCAAAATAATTCATATTTGATAGGTTTTGATCTATTCTGATTAGGAGACAACTTTGTTCAAATTGAGATCAAGTTTTTTTAAAGAAGCGAACTCAGGACAAAAGCATATTTAGGTTTCTTTGTCCCTACCCATTTTAGGGAATATATAAAAGTATATATTTTATTATTAATTTTATTATTTGTTATATTAATAAAGTTATTGTTTGATATATTAATTTAAGAAATTAATATTTTAAATTCAATAGGATATCAATATGGCACCCTCTATGAGTTTTTATTTTTTTTTATTTTTTATCTTTTCACTTTTTTCATTTTTTTGTTTTTGTCTATTTAATTGGATAAATTTTGTAAGAAAGAAAAAGCAATTGAAATATCCACATCACCTCTATTTGGCTTTTTTGACCTTTCGCTTTTTTAATTTTTTAATTAGATAAATTTTATGATAAAAAACAATAAAAAAATGACAAAATAAAAAAAAAATTGACCCATAACAACACACAAATAATTATATTAGTATTCATAAAAGCAACTAATGTAACAAAGCACAAGAGGCGTTCTAGTTATATATTAGATTAAGGGACATATTATTTTGTTTATAAAGGTATCAAATTGAAAATAATAATAATAGTAAGGGATAATGTCTTACATAACCCCTAAACTATTACATTTTGTTGGATTTGGTACTTAAACTAAAAAAGTTACTAAATAGGCACCTAAATTCTGATATCATGTATAAATTTAGTTCAAGAGTTAACTTTGTTAGCCAAGTTGTTGACTTGGCTATTTTGGCCAATAAAAAACTACCATCTGGACATAAAATGACATGTCAACTTAAGTTGTTGTTTACATGTCATGCTTATATTGCCATATATTGACAAGTCTAAAAAATTTTTTTAAATTTTTAAATTTTTTTCATTTTTGCTTTTCTCTTTTCCTCTCTCTTTTTTCTCGAATGTAAAACCCTAGAATTTGAAAACTGAACAACATAACCACAAGATTGTCCTATTTTTCAAAAATCAATCACTAGTTACCGTTGTCATTGTCGTCGTCACCACCACCAGGTTGCCATTGGCCACCATCGGTTGACCTTCATTGATACCCAAATTTCACCATGAGCTTTCACTTGGCCTTTTCATCTTGGATCTGGACTCGAATTTTCACAAATTGGCCTCTAATGTCCCAGATCTAAAGCTAAAGTCGCAACCTTTCAAACTCTTTCCCTTTATTTCTTAAACAGGTTTTTAAATAATGCTTCTAGAACCCAAGATTAAAATTCGAAAACCACAACTTTCACTGTTTGTTTTGGCATTGGATTTGCCACTAACACAAAGTCTTTCCTAAGAACAAAACTCAAATCCCATAATCTTAACTTGAAATTTTAATGTCGAAACCTTAATCTCTTCCCTTTTTTGTGCTTTTGGTTTTCTGTGATTGTGGGTGTGATTGTGGTTTTTTTTTATATGTTTGAGTATGGTGTGCTAGATTTCTTGATTGTATGCAAAATTTGGGTTTGAAGTTACCAAAATGTTGTGAATGTTCTTGGGTTGATGAGATTTTTGGGTTTTAACTACTGAGTTACTCGAGTTTTCTTTGTGTCTGCTCATGACTCTCTATTTTTTCTTGTGGTTGATTTCGGTTTGGAGCTGCTGATTTGACTTATGATTTTTGCTTATGATTTTGCTTGAATGCTTTTGGTTGTCTGTGTTAAGGCTTACTTTGGGTTGATTTGACTTTTAAGTTTGGGTTTTACTTCTTGTGTTGTTGAGACTGTCGATTTTGCTAGGTTTCTTCTATTGTTTGGTGTTAAGGCTTCTTTGTTTCCTGCTTGATTGAAAATTTTTTACTTATATTTTTGAATTCTTTTACTGGGAAATTGAGCCTTTGATTTTGAAGAAAGATATGGCAGAGAAGATTTTTTAGAATTTTCAAAAAATTTTATAATATTTTTATAATTTTTTTGAATGCTAATGTGACATTAATGATGTTATGTTGATTAGATTTTTTGACATATATCAAAATCTTATTAGATGTTTATGCCACATCAATGTTTAGGATTAAAGATATAAACGATTGAAGCAAATTAATACACAAAAATGTAATTTAAGTATCTGATTAAATTTTTTTTTGTTTAGATACCACATTAAAAAAATGCATAAGTTCAAAAGTCATATAAGACACTATCTCTAATAATAATAATAATAATAATAATAATAATAATAAAGGAAACATAGTTATGTGTTGCTATTTAGAAAGGCAAATGATTTGGTACAAATCCATGAAATTTTAATGTTGAAATTTTAATCTCTTTCTCTTTTTTTGTGTGCTTTTGGTTTTTTGTGATTGTGGTTGTTTTTTTATAGGTTTGAGTATGGTGCGCTGGACTTCTTGGTTATGTGCAAAATTTGGGTTTGAAGATACCAAAATGTTTGTAAATGTTCTTAGGTTGATGAGATTTTTGGGTTTTGACTACTGAGTTACTCGAGTTTTCTTTGTCTCTGCTCGTGACTCTCTATTTTTGCTTGTGGTTGATTTTGGTTTGAAACTGTTGATTTGATTTATGATTTTTGCTTGAATGCTTTCAGTTGTCTGTGTTAAGGCTTGCTTTGGGTTGATTTGACTTTTGAATTTGGGTTTTACTTCTTGTGTTGTTGAGATTGTAGATTTTGCTAAGTTTCTTCTATTGTATGGTGTTAAGGCTTTTTTGTTTCTTACTTGATTAAAAAATTTTGACTTATATTTTTGAATTCTTTGATTGGAAAATTGAGCCTTTGATTTTGGAGAAAGATATGACAAAAGATTTTTTAGAAATTTCAAAATTTTTTAGAAATTTTTTTAAAATTTTTTTGAATACTAATATGACATTAATGATATAATGTTGATTAAATTTTTTGACATATATCAAAATCTTATTAGATGTTTATGCTACATCAATGTTTAGGATTAAAGATGTAAACAATTGAAGCAAATTAATACACAAAAATGTAATTTAAGTATCTTATTAGAAATTTTTTTTTGTTTAGATCCCACATTAAAAAAATGCATCAGGCCATATAAGACATTATCTCTAATAATAATAATAATAAAAGAAACATATGCTAGTTATGTGTTGCTATTTGGAAAGGCAAATGATTTGGTACAAATCCATGAAATATTCTTTTCTAATGCATCTTACGAAAAAAGATCTTTCTAAAGCCGTTTTTCAATTAACCTTAACCGATATTTTATGTGGATATCGTTAACTAGACAAACCTAATTTTAAAACTTTCAAAAAGTCATTTCCAGAGGCTGCTTTTTGCCGTGAGCATCATCACGTCTACGTCGAATTCGGGGTGCCACAGCTCAGGGTGCAATCTATAACAGGAACAACGACAGTTGAAAATATTTTTCTCAATACTTGCCAAAAAGCTACTCTGTAAACTCTCACCAATTGCCAATTAAAAATTTGATTCGATGGAAAGATAAGGTTTTCCACATAGCATACTACATCAACATGGAAGTACAAGCAAGTTCTCAAACACGTAAGAAGTAGACACATTTGGAAGGTCAATCTCCATGCTCTCTATGGCATCTGTTCTTCATGATAAAGATACAAGCCAAGACCAAATCGAGCACATGCCCTGCAGAAAGCTATTTCTTCTGCTGCAGAAACAGGGTCTACGATGTTAATGTCGCTGGATGATACTGTTCCAGTAGACTCGCGATGTGCCTGTATAAGAGTAAATGCACATGTTTAAGAATAAATCAGAAACAGAAAAAAGATTACATCTTGTTTAGCATTCCATTATTCCTCATGCAATGATTGTCAATAATTTTCACAATCTCAATAATATAATCAAGTAGTCATGAGCAGTGGTGTTTCATCAGTTGAATATCCAATTTCTCAAAAAGGAATAAATCAGTTCTCCATATTTGATTCTTTAAAAAAAAAAAAACTTGAAATTAATGGTCTCATAGAATTGCAAACTCCATATAGACTTCCACTTGAAGCAAAAGGAAAAGCAGTCATAATCCACTTCTAACCTCACATGGATCCTCCCCAGAGAGTTTATACTTTAAAAGAGACCCATTAAAACAACTCTGTTCATATATAAATTGTCACAAACCTAAGAACCCTTAAGAGAAAGAGCACGTAAAAGGACTATAACAGAGAACCAAGTCTGGAGCACGTATAGAGTTTTAAGGCTTACAGATTTTCTATGATTGACTTCCATCTCAGATTAACCAAAACCTAAAATATGCATTACATGCACATGCATGCAATTCAGCTTGATGGGGATGGCAGCCTTCTCATAGGTGATGCTTTTATTAGGAGCTGGTAGGGAATCTCTATATTGTGCCCTACCAACAAAAATGAGTGTGGCAAATTGGTGCCTTTACCCACAAGATGGCACAAACATCCAGGAATATTCATATATAAAGTTTGAAATCAAAACAGCCATAACAAGTTGAATGAAAGTCCAGAAGTTATCTAACATGGTTACATTCATTTTTTCCTAAGTTTTCCATATATTTTACGTGTTATACCTCTATATTTATATTCATTGGACAAATGTCGGCCACATGTACTTCAAGAAAAATGAAGTTTCACAGCAACCTAGGTAATGACTACAATGAATTGAAATAGAGTTCATTGAGTTCTGGACAGCAACAAAGTGAAATACGATTCTGAAAGGGCTAGCAAAACCTCAAAATTTGGTACTTGTTGCTAAAATTTGAGAGCAAGACATCAACTAATAAAATTTTTGGAGGTGATTATGTTGGATTTGTTGGAGTATGCCCTAGAGACAAATCGGATTTGTCCAAAATACTCATGTTATTTTGTAGATTTTAAATCCAATAAAAGACCTTGATTTATCCATAAGCTTTCAACTATATTATTATATATGCTTAATGATAAAGTACTTGTAATAAATACGGTTTGCAAGGAAATTACATAAAAGTTGTAATTATGAAATCATCATCGCATCAAAGTTATATTTATTAAATGTTCCCTAAAATATTCCTCATTAATGCTTTGCTAAGAAATGATATTGATAAAAGTTGTTGAAACTAAAATATAGTTATGCTCTTGCTTGTGAAGTAACCAACCGATCTCATAGGTTGAAGTGTTGATAAGCTTGAGCTAACATATATGTGCTTGTTACAAGAACAAATTCACTAAACATTAACTGATATGAGAATTCCATTAGATTTATCACTTAGTATCTATGACAATATTCTCATGTGTTAGTTGTATAAGTGATCCTCATAATTGAGATTAATAATGATCAATGATCTTATAAGATAAATGTGTTACTTTGATTTTACCATACTTATGGTCCTAACCATAGATGCTCCAATTATGTATTGTTGGGTATAACTTGAGACTTATGAATATGCATTTAGTAATCAATAAATGACTCATTGTCTTGAGTGATTAAAGAAATATCTCATCTAGTCTTGATAAAAATTAACTTAAGAAATCCTTGGCCTAGGTGGAATGAAGTTGCCAAATAGTTCTTAAACTTATTCAAAAAGTTAATGTCTTAAACCTGCGAACTAATATGATTAGACAATTTAAGTGGACACTAATTCATGCTCAATATTAAATTGAGATATTAAGTGATAAAGAATAATAATTATACCGAGAAACTAAGCACGGATAGGTTAGTCAAATCTCATTGATTTTTCTTTAAGAAATGGGAGTCATGAGTTATTGATAGATGACAATCATAATCTACAAATATAAGATTGGCTACTTGGAGTATTAATTATGAACCAAAATAGTTTGATCAACCTAATCCAATACTCAAAAGGATTACAATTTTTATTTATTGATAACATGTTAAAGAACCTAATGGGTCACACATATAGAGCATGGCTTGTGAAAATTTAAATTGGATTATAATTAAGTGAAACTTAATTAGAAGTTGGGAACTTCAAGTACTTAATTAAGGAAATTAAAAGTCAAAGTGGAATAGTCAAAGGCACTAATTCTATTTGGAATAGTCCTAATGCTAAATCCTCCTATACTTAAAGACACTATCGTCGGCTCTCTCTACATATAACTGTGAGGATATAACACATCCAATTTCCTAGCTCATGTATTGGGAAACCCGAGGGAATTAAAGAGAAAGGGGCTGCCACATACACTTCTAGCAATGTGTTTCAACCTACGGGTTCTTCCCAACTTTGGTGAAGGTTGTTTCACTCCAAGTTTGTTTGGATTTCATTAGAGGCTAGACGCTTGAATAGCTGAAGATTTATGACAATCTAGCTTTGTGATCTTGGAGGATTGCTTCTTGAATCAATGGAAAAAACTTTGTAAACAAAATTTTGCACCTTACTCGAATGCATACATGTATATCATGATATCAATGCTTGACCTTATGTTTAGAATTAAAAATTTTTTAAATTATGTTAGCATACAAGTGTTCAAATCCCAACAAAATTTAATGATAAATCGACAGGTTTTTGATGCAGGTTTGAGTTCTCTTCATTTTTAACCCTGAGAGGATGGTAGAATTACTAGTAAATGTATGGTAAAGGATTCTCCTAGTTCAAAACACTTCTCCACAATTTATGACTAGAGTTTTTGAACAATCCCCGCTTACCAAATGCTATATGGGCCTCCATGAGGTCAATTAGAAACATTATAACAGTTTCATTAAAAGAAGATGTCATAAAGCAGAAAAGCCTTCAGGGTTTTAGTAGTGTTTATCCTTCAATTAGGGATAATATGGGTTTTTGAGTCTATGTTGTGGTTTTATGGCTTGTGACAATAAAAGTAATTGAGAGAAGTTATTTGGCTTTGGATTAAGAATTGTTGGGACTTTGAAATATTGAATTGAGGTTTTCCCACTCATTGGGTTCTCTCTCCCTTTTTGCTTTATTTCTTCTCCTTATCTCCTTAATTTCTCCTTAATTTATGTTTTCACCATATTTTATTTTAGTTGTTTTACATCAACGTGCCCAATGAAGCTTTCATTCTTAGTTTAATGACCATCACCTAAATCATTTCTTACCACAAGCATTAAAAATGCAAAGAAAAAACAAAAAATCCTATTTGCCAACAAGTAAAAGAAACCAGAGTATCGTATTCATTAAATCATATCAGAAAGCAACCACCACTGTTCAATTTGCCAAATGTAAACAAGTTATCTGGGTGAATTTTGTTGTCTCTCGAGGCACCATTTGCTTAAAAAGGAGGTGAAAAGAAACCTGAAAGTTTAGTGCTTTCACCATAAAAAAAGGGCACTATCACCATAAATCAAGTTGCCAATTCTAGATCTTCCCGCCGATTAAATTCCACCACCAGGATCTACCACATACATATTCTTAAGCACCAGGTAATTAAAATGAACTTGACACAATCACCCAACATGCCCACACTCCAGCTGCTTCAATTCATAGTTGATGTCATCTAACTCTTTATAGTTAACAACTCATTAAAAAATGCTCAGAAAACCTCCTATCAGTTTCTATGTCCTGATTCCATTTTTTTAGATCTATTTTTTAAGATTACCTCTCTGGCTCCCAGAAATTAGTAAGCCAAGGTTTCTATTTACTCTCTTTTAGGTAAAATCCTCCAATTAAAACTTGACTAATATGTCATTCGCAGGCAGATCGCAGCTGACTTGACTCACGTGATCCACGCACAAGCTACTTCTGTCTCTTAATGTTAGTGCCACATTAACAATTCTCTAAACCTTCTCACATAACTTCAGCATGCTATTTCCATTTTGGAGGTCCATTTATCAAACTCAGTCTCTAAAGGTCATATTCCCGTGAGCAATTGCGAATTTAGTCTTTTGACGATGCAGGAGCATACTTAATTACAATCAATTCAAGCAAACCAAGGCTAAATTTTATTGAAGCTTAAGCAAAGCTTGATCACCAAGTTTTTGGCTTATGTCACATTTGTTGCAACCCTTCTAAAAACCAGCATCTGGTTTCATATGACAAGACTATAATGTGCTCCCAGCAAAGGAAGGCGGCACTAGTAGAGTTCTACACCATAAATGGTTTTGATTTTCCAAATTAATGATAGTAGGTTTGAGCTCTTAATACCTATGAATATTGGGAAACAAAGTTTCTCCACAACATCTTTGGTATCCTTATATTTCTAAATTTTAGTCAAAGACTAGACATTCCCAGTCAGCATATTTTAGAAACCTACTTGGCCTGTATTGCATCACAAGTTACCACTCTACTTTATAAAAAGAGTCTTTGATGCGGAATGCTAATAAGCTAATTAAGGGATTAAATTAAGATTTTATTTAGTTACTTTTGTTGTATTTATGGGGTCTAATTGTAAAATTTAATTGAACTAGTGCTGCATTTAACATTTTTACATTTACATTAGAGATTAGTATCTTATTTTCTTTTCCTTATCCTATTAAGTTTTGCTTTTAAGTTGAGTTTATTAGTTTTGAATGAGGAGTCTTAAGTAGTTTCTCTGACATCCTACTTGGGATAGGAATTCTAGTTGTTTTAGAATTAGGGTTGCTAGTAGCTTATATAAATACCAATGTACTCTTTCTTTTGAAGACAGGCTACGATAGGAAGTTTTTCAGCATTATTGGCATTGTGATTGTGTGACGTAATCAATCTTATGTTTGACTACTAAGGAACCCTAAGCTTGATGCTTAGATTCTCTTTTTTCAATGGTTGTATGATGCACTTTAGGAATTCTAGGTTTGATGCTTAGGTTTTCTTTTTTCTTTGTTGCGTAATGCAATTAAGGAACCCAATGTATGAAGCTTATGGATCATTTATCTATTTTTTCCCTCTTTTTCTTCATTCAATTTTACCTATTTTCTTAAGAATTTCATATTATTGTTACCACAACCTAGCCCCATAGGTTGTCATGCTTCAGTCTTTCTGCCTCTCCAATATACAAGTGGCTCCATGAGAATGCCTAACAAACCCCATGATCCCTAAGTGGGAATTGGATCCTTCATATGAGCACAAGTTTCACACAAAAGAAAAAATCCCTAGCTCTAAATTCCAGAATGCAACATCATCTAACAGTAAGTCTGGAAACAGGGAACTAGGATTCAATCGAACACAGCAGTCAAGTTAGTTCATTACCAAGAAAGGTATTTTTCTGCATTCATTTCTCAATTATTTTAATCCTTATAAAAAGTCAGGCAAAAGGGACAAAACAAAATGAAAAATAATTGATTGGTAAGCAAGTAGCATGTAAGGGCATTCATAATTCGGTTTTAACTGAATTAACTGACCGAACCGATTTAATTCGGTTAATCAGTCAGCCACTGAATTAATTTCGATCGGTTATCAAAAATCATTTTAAAAAAATTTCGATTTTTGCTTAATTCGATTTGAAAACCAAATTAACCAAATTAATCAAAATTTTAACTAAAATATTATAAAACATATATATACATATATATATATATAACTAAAAATATATGAATTTATCCATTTCATTTCAAATTATTACAGTTTTTAACTTAACACTTTGGTGTTTGAATATTTTTGTTAAATGATTTTATTTAATTTATTTCACATATAAGAAAATAAGAATTTAAAATATAATTTAACTTAAGATTAATTCGATTTTGGTAATTTGGTTTCGAAATTAACCCAACCTACTAAATGAACACCTAAAATTGTCAGGTGTTTTTAACTTATGATTGGATAGAAAATAGTAATATGGAGAAGTAAAAGTGAGGAGAAGGAAGCAGACCTCTCCATCAGACCCTCGAATGGTGAGTCGATATACAACAGTGATGGTTCCATTGTCAGCGAATATAACATCACGTACTTCTCCACACCATCCTGTTAGAAATATTAATTCCAAGAATTCTTAAAGGTTTGCAATACAAAAGGAAATTGAAGAGAAAACAAAAGAAAAAAGGAGGGGCAAACCAGGAGCATAGAAGCTCAACATGCGATTGGCATGGTACCTGGGGCCATCATATCAGATCAAATGAATTATCAATAATAAGATTCAGAAATTCTAAAATAAACAAAAGCTAGCGTTAGTACCAGGGGAGGAAGGTGGAAGAAGAAGAAGAAGAAGAAGAAGAGTTAGATGGAGGCTTGATGATGTTATCAGGGATACGCTTGTTGAGGTCGCGCAGGATTTCGACCAGAGGGCGAGTGATGCAGGAGGAGTTGGAAGGCGAAAACGACTTGTCCAGAGGCACTACGTAGTTTGAATTAGGGACTCCCTTTTTAGCATCGCTGCTGCTATTGTTGCTGCAATGGACAAGGCCGATGAATCGCTCTCTCCCCCTGCCCACAGCCCCAATTACCAACCTCCCGTTCTTATTGCTGTTATAATTGTTCCTGTCAGAAGAGAGCTGTGGCGACCATTGCGACAGGAAGACGACGCCGCTGCTTCGCAATTGTAATGCCATTTCCGATTCGCAAGTGTGTTTCGTCAAATGCCAACTGCCCTATTATTTATTCTCTTGCTTACTAGTCCTGTACCTACCTAAACCTCTACTCTACCTACCTAAACCTCTGCTTGGAATGTTCATTCAATAATTTCAAATTAAATTATTCAAAACAAAATTAATCAAATTATATTATTTTTTAATCCAATTAATTTTTTTTAATTTTAAAACTTAATCAATTAAAATGATCAATTAATTAAATAATAAAATATTTTAAATTATATTATATTTTAAATTTTTAGTTTCAAATAAATTAAATAAAACCATTCAACAAAAATATTTAAATATCAAAATATTAACTTAAAAATTCTAATAACTTGAAATAGAGTAGATAATTTCATATAATTTTAATTTTATATATAGATTTTATTATATTTCAATTAAAATTTTAAATAATTTATTTTCAAATTAAATTAATTTAAAATTAAAATTTTTCTAAAATTATTTTTATTAATTGATCGCAATTGAGTTGATAATTGATCGATTAACTAAATTAAATTAATTCAATCAGTTAATTTGATTAAAATTGAATTTTAAACACCCTAATTTTTACAAACTTAACTTCTATTTTTTTTTGGAGTATTTAATTTATTAACACAATTTTTTTTTTTGTTTTTAAAATATTGTACATTCATCTTAGTTGAGTTTAGTATTATTTTTAAAATTATCATGTTAATCTAATTATTAAGATGAGTTTATCGTTGGAATAATTTATCATTAGTGATTTGAAATCAAACTATTCAATAAAAAACAATTAATTTCTAAGAATTAAAAATCATATTTGGTATTGTCGAAAATCAATATTATTTTATTTCATGAGAGTATCAAAATAGTCATATGATAATAATTACACAAGTTGATAATTTTAATATTATATAAAAATAATAATTTGTAACATATTATTAATATTTTTTTACTTCATAGTAAATATAATTAAATTATTAAATTGAAAATATATTTATTGACAGATAAAATAATTTTTATAATATAAATTATATTATGTTAAAAAACTTTTATAATGTAAGAAAATATTTGTATTAAAAATAAAACTAAATTTATTAAAAAATAACAAGAAGAAAACAATATTATATCTTATATATAACATTAAAAAAATTAATATATATAATTTATTTTTGAATTTGATATAATGAATATTAGTTTGAAAATAAAAACTTTAATATATAATAATAATAACTTTGAAAGGAATCAAATTTGTAATTAACACATTAAATGAATAATATTAACTATAATTAATTTTGTATATTACTTTACCTCTATGATAATTTTTTATTTTTTTTATCATTTTGGATAAGAAATTATATTATCTTTTAAGACATTGATCTAATTACTCTTAACAATTTAAGATTATTCCTAGATAAGATCATCAAATTTTTATCAAACAAAATGATCTTATCATGACATATAAATTATTGTGATTTTTTAGTAACCACTAAATATTAAACATTATCTTATTTCTAAATCTTATATGATATTAAAATACAATCAACATCATTATCACCGCTTTCTTTTATTGTTTAATTGAAGACTAAGACTTGATTTTATTTTTCAACTAAATATGCCGTTGTCTAGGCATTGTATTAGAATGCACTAGTATGGAATTTTCATGCGAAAAATCTTTTGTAAAACAAGGATACAACGGTAATTTCCTCAATCAACTTTCTAATTGTTTCTTAATATATTACCCTTATAGCCTCCAAAATTTGAGGCTTGCACAATTCTAATCTTTATGCTCAAAGGGTAACTTGTTATTTGTTAAGTCATATATTTCTACATTATAATAAAATGATCATTTCATCATTTTTCATAAAATGTGCAGCTTTCTCCTTGCAGGATCAATAGCAATAGCGTTGATCCGGCTTTAGCAATGGTTGCGACAATGATTGATGGTCTACGGGAAGTGTTGGAGAAGAAAGAAGACAAAAGAAAAAGGAAGAAGGAAAACTCAAAAAAGAAGAAAAAAAAAAAACCTCCCATAACCTAATTTCTTTATATGTCGTCAACTAATACTTAAACACCAGATAATAAAAACACTGATGAAAAGATGTACCACCAAGTTATTTTTTTGAATTTTTTTTATAAAAGTATAAAATTTTATTAATATGAGGGAGATAATATAAAATAAACACCAAGAGAACAATAGAAAATCCGACAAGGAAAACGCCAAAATAAAAAGAAAATCCTAAGTGAGTCAACGACGCTCTATGGTCGCAATGTGATACAATCCAAGATGTTAGAATTATAAGCAATAGAAAAGCTTAAAAGCTAATAGTAAATTTAAAAATTTTAAAATATGATATGATAATATAATATAAATAAAAAATATGAAAATAATATGATTTAAAATTTTAATAATATTTATATATGAGTTTATTAAAATCAAATACATTTCATATTTTTATATTGACATAATTTATAATACGTAATTTTCATATAAAATATTATACGAATATAAATATTTAATATTTATATGATATAAATACACAAATTATAATATCAAAATATTAATGCATAGCTTGTGGGACCCACTTGAAATAACACTTCATATTTTGGGAGACTGCCCAAGAGCCAAAATCATATGAACAGCTTATTCATGAAAAGCAAAACAGTTTCTGGTTGGGTAATTTGAAAGAGTGAACCATGTTACTATGACTGACTAAAAATCCATCATGATTGGTGATTGGAATTTGGTAAGTCTGTTTGCTAACACATTGTGGCTTATTTTGAAATGGAGAAGCAAAGTTGCGTGCGTTGTCCAATCTTCAGTCACCAAATGACAAGAAACTTAAACTCTTAGGGAAGACCATGGAGGAATGGAACTCTAACCAGGGAGTTACTAACAACATGCTCTTGAGAATTGAAATACTGCTGAGTTGGATAAAACCAGCTACTAACTGGAAAAAGCTTAACACAGATGGTAGTTGGGATCAATCTGTAAAAGTCGCTGCTTGTGGAGGCCTTATTCGGGAAACTGATGGCAATTAGATTTCTGGTTTCAGTTGCCAACTTGGGAATTGCAACATTGATTTGGCTGAAATGTGGGGCATTTATCATGGTGTTAACCTTGCTTGGCAGAGCAGGATTGACTTTGTTAAAATCAAATCTGACTCCATGAACGCAATTCTGGCTATAAAAAATGGCGTGCCCCTACATCATCCTTTATGTTCGCTCTCTTGTGAGTAAAAGAAATATTGGGGAGAAAGTGGATATTGTCAATCAAACACATCCCTAGAGAAAGAAATATGGCCACTGATGAGATCGCAAAGTGGAGTTGTTCACAGAATTAGAATTTAATGAAGAATTGGATTTTTTATCCGAATGAGAATGGGATAAATACTACATTGTGAGTATGAAAATAGATATAGGGATGTGTATAATTTTAAATTTTTATTAGATATAAGGACATGATGAGGATGGTAATATAGTACCCGTCCCATACCCATATCTTATATATATTTTTATATATTTAATAAATATATTTTAATTAAATGATATAAATTATTATTTTAGATTAGTTAAAATTAATATATTTTTCTTGAAAAAGATGTATTAATATATATTTATAAAAATGACTTAAATATACAAGATAAAAAATGAAGAAAGCTAGAAAAATAAATTTTGGCTTTTATTTTTTTAAAAAGCTATAGATATGAGGATTATTCATACTCATTAAATATTCATAGGGATGGGAATGAGGATAGATTAAAAATATCTATTGAGTATGGGTATGAGAATAGGTATGATATAAAAATTTGAAAAAAAAGAATGAGGAATATTATACTCACCTCATACCTTATCCATTGATATCCCTAAACAAAATAGAAGAGTGTGCTTTCATCATGTACCCCCTCATGTTTGTCTCCTATTTTATTAGTCGACAAAATTGGTGTCTGACACCCATGTATTGTCTCTCTTTAATTGTTTTGTTGTTGGTTCTTATAATTTCCAATGTACAAAAAAAAAAGGTTTATGATATGTTCCTTTGACGCTAATATGAATTTTCAAGATCAATTTATGGATGCTTGCTTCATGAACCTTTAAAGATCTATTTTTTAATATTTTATTTGACATCTTCTTGATCTTTCTCATCTATAGAGCAACAACTAAAGTTATCTACAAATTTTTATACTACAAATGCTAGGGTTCTTGGTGGATGCCTAAAGATTAGGCAAAAAAATGAGTTTATGAGAGAACTTTTACTAGTGTAATTGGAATTAACACTTCTTGTGCCTATTTATGTAGAACTTATTATAGTGCTATACAAAATATGCCTCGTATATTATATTTGTGGAATCATTTAGGAATAGAATTCTAATTTAACTAATATTAGGAGTTATATATGCCTAAATGGATCTACTAATGGGTTTGGATTCATTTGACTCAACTTATATTCCAAAAAAAGGCCAAGAAATGATTAAGAGAAACTTTTAATCTCCATTTCTCACCTTTTGCTTTTGCTAGTAAAAGGTTGGTATCTCACTCTTATGCCTTAGAAAATAACATCAAATTCATTGGTAAGGAGTTATGATCCTAATGATGAGTATGATTATCATATGGGGCCAATTGGCCACTAGATTGAAAAATGTAGATAGTGAAGGAAAAGGTGGAGGATCTCATCAAAAGCAGTATTTTGACTCTAAAATTTATGGAACAATAGAAGTTAACTCTATCCAATCTCAAAATGTGAAGAGTTGAAATGTGAAAAGATGTCTCGAGTTTTGAAAGATTAAGATATGATAGTTTTCTTTTGAATCTTTGATCTTTTATTTTGTGTATGACATGCATATGATGTCTTTAAGAGTTATTTGGATTAATCTTGTTCGAATTTATTTGGGAAGAAATGGATGCTTTGGAGTTTTTCTATGAAAATTTGTTTTTATGCAATTTTTTGAATAAAAGCCTCATATAATTAATTTTTGAAATCATAAAATGAGAAGTGCCTTGAAAAAAAAAAAGAGAAAGAAAAAAAAAGAAAGGAAAAAAAGAAGTTTTCTTTTGTAATAAAA